CTTGAAAGTCATTGTGAGTTGCCTCATGGATTCGTGTTTCAGTTTACTTCAAAATTTACATTTTGTGGGGTCCGGCCGTGTGGCGCAGCGGTTAAGTGCACACATTCAGCTTCGGTGGCCTGGGGTTCACCAGTTCGGATCCCGGGTGCGGACATGGCACCACTTGGCAAGCCATGCTGTGGTAGGCATCCCACATATAAAGGAGAGGAAGATGGGCATGGATGTTAGCTCAGCGCCAGTCTTCCTCAGCAAAAAGAGGAGGATTGGCAGCAGTTAGCTCAGGGCTAATCTTCCTCAAAAAAAAAAAAAACAAAAAAAGAAAATTTACGTTTTGTTTTCAAAATAGAAGTTTATTTATTATCTTTTCTGGTTATAAAAGTAACACATGCTTACTGTAAAAAAAGGAAAAATTTAAACCATATGAAAATGACAAACCCTGACCTGGTCACCTCACCTGCTGGGAAGTAGGAATTTCCATTTGGACACCTCACATATGAAGCAGAGCCGGCTGGATGCCACAGTCCAAAGGTGGGCCTTATGTGTGTAGCAGACTGTCTCCAGCCAGCCCATGCTTATTTAACCAACACCTCCAGTTCATCACCAGCTAACCAACAACACTCAGAGACTTTGCTTCTTAATATGCGACGCAGGTATATGCAATGTTTTGCTTTAAAAGCCCACCCCCATTTTCTTTACCACGGACCTATTCCCCAGAGCCTACGCTCTGTAATTGGATTTCATATTAGGCAGTAAAATTTCTCCACTCAGTACTCAATCTTTGAACTCTTAGTCTTTCATTTTCTGTAAAAAATACGTTTTGAGAAGCCAGCCCTGATGGCCTAGTGGTGAAAGTCTGGTGCTGTCACTGCTTTGGTGGCCTGGGTTTGTTTCCCTTTCGTGGAACCACACCACCTGTCTGGCAGTTGCCATGCTGTGGTGGCAGCTCACGTAGAAGAACTAGAAGGACTTGCCATTAGGATACACAGTCAGGTACTGTGGCCTTGGGGAGGAAAAAAAAATGAGGAAGGTTGGCAACAGATATCAGCTCTGGGTGAATCCTCCTCTGCAAAAAAAAAAAAATTTATGAGCTTCCTGTTAATTCTGATGTCTGCCTCTTGTCATTACCAATAGACAATTTTTCCTATTTTTCTGTTTTCATGATTTTATATGTTCTTTTAAAAATTTTAATTCATAGGAACATTATCCTTTGTCAAACATGTTTCAAGCTTTTTTCCAAAGTTGTTAATTTGTTTATTTTTCATACAAAAATCTAACTTTTTAAAAAATAATCAAAGCTGCTAATTCTTTCTTTTATGATTTCGACATCCCAAATTATACCTGTTCCCTTAATTTTCAAGAACTCTTTATAAAATAAAACTCTGTATAAAACCACTGTCAGAATATTTTCTCAAAATTCAGTAGATATTCCTTTACTGATGTCTGCCAGTTAGCGTTGTAGAAGAGAAATCTAAGGTTATCTTTATTTTTGTTCTCTTAAGTAGTTATTATTTATTTTATTTTATTTATTTATTTTTTTGAGGAAGATTAGCCCTGAGATAACTACTGCCAGTCCTCCTCTTTTTGCTGAGGAAGCCTGGCCCTGAGCTAACATCCGTGCCCATCTTCCTCCACTTTATACGTGGGACACCTACCACAGCATGACTTTTGCCAAGCAGTGCCATGTCCTCACCTGGGATCTGAACCAGCAAACACTGGGCCGCTGAGACGGGGAACGTGCGAACTTAACCGCTGTACCACTGGGCCGGCCCCTTAAGTAATTTTTAGGTAGAGTGCCTGTTAATGATCACCACATAACTATTTTTATATATTTTATATATAATAATTTTTACATTAACATAGTAAATTTGTAATTCAAACATGTTGCCAAGATGTTAGTTATCTATTGTATTGCTGTATAAAAAATTACCCCAAAATTTAGTAGCTTGAAACAACAAACATTTGCTATTATTTCTGTGGGTCAAAATCCAATAGAGGCATAGCTGGGTAATTTTGTTTATAAAGATTGGCACCTGAGCTAACATCTGTTTTTTCCTTCTTCTTGTCCCCAAAGCCCCCCAGTACATAGCTGTATATTCTAGTTGTGAGCGCCTCTGGTTGTGCTATGTGGGACGCTGCCTCAGCATGGCTTGATGAGCGGTGCCATGACCACCCCCAAGATCTGAACTAGCGAAACCCAGCACCACCAAAGCCGAGCGTGAACTTAACCACTTGGCCACAGGGCCAGTCCCCATAGTTGGGTAATTTTGACATAGGGTCTCTGATGATGCTGTAGTCCTCATCTCCTTTCTGATTGTCATCAGGCTACCTCAGTTCCTTAGGATGTGAACCTCTCCACAGGACTGCTCGGCATGGCAGCTGACTTCCCTCAAAGCAAATGATGAGAGAAAGAGGGAGGGAGAGAGAGACAGAGAACAGGAAGCTGTGGTACCTTTTATGTTCTAGTCTCTAAGTCACACTGTCATTTCCACATTATTCGATTTTTTAGAAGCAAGTCACTAAATCTAGTCCACACTGAAGGAAAGGAGAATCAAGATCCATTTCTTGAAGGGAGGATTATAAGAGAATTGAGGGCGTTTTCTTAAAAAACCACCACACAGAAAACTCCAGTTGTGGGTATGATTTCACTGAATTTTCCCCTACAAATTATTAGCCTATGTAATCTGATCTTTATTTAGTTTGTAAAATTTTTTTTCCATAATATCTTTGGTATTTTTCTTCTGTTGTATTTTCTTTAGCTTTTCTTCATGAATTCTAATTATCCTACAGTATTTATTTCAGCTTTCTATTCTCTACAATTATATCTCTTTTGTAACTTTCATATCTGTGTGTTTTCCTCTGTAATCTGATAAAGGATCACATGTTTGTGCTCTATATCAATTCTGCTCATTTTGACCTCCGAGAGCTTTTTAAATTCTGCTATTGTATTTTATTTTATCTGCTATCCTTCCACATGTCATCCGTATCTATTTTTATCTCTTACTTTTGCCTTTTCAGGACAACTTGTTGGCTTTCTTCCTGGGTTTTTCTTACCATACACATTTCAGCCTCTCTTCATTGAAGTAATTTTTTCTTGTATCAATTGAAAATGCCAAAGAGTTCCATGAAATTTTTTTTTCTGAACTATCAGTTGATAATTCTCATAGTTACACTCCTCATCTGAACCTTCCATATTGGCATTATTTTCTCATAGGCTTATTGGTGCTTTCTTTCACTTCCATTATAACCTTGGCATACGTCAACAAACAGGATGTGTGGTTTCCCTTGGTGTCGTCCGTTTGTATGATGGTAAAATTTCTTACTTATCATGACAACTAGAGGACAAGTTGATGAGTTCATTCCAAGTTCAATACCTACCTTCTAAAGGGCATTCACCCATTGCAGCTCTGCTTTATTGAGGTGGCATCTTCTATTGCTGCTGTCTGGCTTTATAATGCTGTGAACAGGTGGAATACTTGGAACACAACAATCTTGGATACACATTTCCCAGCATTCTGCTTATCTCTGTCTTCCCGACTTACAGAGTTTGTTTATGGGGCTACATCTCCTAGGATGGGAGGCATTACCACCAGCATCCTGTTTGTTTTATCAGTTTCATTCTGGGTAAAGCTCTTTCTGTAGCGATGGAGAATAATGGAGCATTGAAAGGATAGAGTGGCATCCTTAAGAAGCAACAGCTGTAGTGGAAAGAACAGCTTCTAATTTTCAGTTAGGTGACGATCTTGGATTCGGAGTAGGGGACAGACAGTGGGAGAACATATGGTATCTTTTATTTTTTTCCCCCAGATGGTTTTGGTTTCACAGAGGTGAAGCTTAGGCATTTCATGAGATGAAACTTAAATAGGTTTGTTTTTCGTTCATTTTGTTATAGGTAGAAATTAGTCCTTCCAGATTACAGAATTAAATTGTTCATAAATAGAAGTTTTTCGAGTTGCTGTGAGTTTTCATTGTTTTCTGGTCTTTAAAGTTATTTTCATTGAAAATTAGATGAAGTTTTATTATGGCGACCTGCCACGATGGCATTTTAACCTGGAAGTTTCTCTTGGCATTATTTATATCAGCAAACAAGGAAATACTTTAAAAGCCCGGCAATAGGGGAAAAACAAAATAAATTATGGCATATCTTTGTGAAAGAACACTTTGTAGTCATTAGAAATCGTATTGTTGAAGCATATTTAACAACATAAGGAAATGCCCATAATTTATCATTTGGTAAAAAAATTACAAAACTGTATGTACAATGTGGTTCTATTTTCATGAAACAGCAAAAATGAGAAAACAAAAAAGACCAGAAAGATATGTAATATAACATTCACAGAGGTTCTCTCGGCAGTGGAATTAGGTTTAACTTCTATGCTCTATTCTGAAATTTTTTTTTATTTTTAAATTTGCTCTTAAAATATTAAATATTAAAATATTTCTATTAAAATGTGCTACTTATTAAAATAAGGAAAACCAAATTTCAATTAGCAATTTATAACTGCAAGTTAATTTATTTGCGAAGATACTATCTAAGTATTAATACTATATCCATAGCCGTTTAGGGGTGGGAAGGGAAAGATTCTCAGCTATAGAAAGAAATTTCTTTGTCTCACTAAGAGTAAAGATATGTGAAGACCACAGTGTTCTATATTTAATGTAACACTAGCTAGGTATGGATTTATTGTCCCTCAAAGTAATTGATATATAAATATTGTAACATCTTTGCTTGTACACACATACATGCGTGTGTCTTCTGAAATTGATTTGATGCTATCTAATGGCCGCTTTAAAAGGATACGGGTATCTTACATCCATGAGAGGACAACGTCCGGCCACAATAAGGAAGATTAATCTATAGCCCAGTGGTTCTCAAAGTGCAGTCCCCGGACCAGCAGCAGTATCACTTGGGCTCACATTGCAAATGCAAATCCTCAAGCTTCACCCCAGACCCAGACCTGCTGAATCCCCGAATCAACCTGTGCTGTTGTTTTCTTTTATTTTCTTATAGCCATTTTCAGAAACCTTAATCACTTCAATGTCTTTAAGGCTTGTAACATGCCTTTACTGTTGCCAGCTTTTTCGAAATTTCTGCGGAAACACACTTCAGGTAAGCAGATTCATTATAATCCATGTTTTAATAAGTCCTCCAGATGATTTTGATACATACAAATTTTGAAAGTCACAGCTATGGACATTAATTAATGTCCATTAAAGTGGGCATTGTCAAAAGAACAGATGCCTTTTGTAAGTATGGTCATGAAGAAGCAAGAACACCCTGAGAGGCAGGAGCATCTCTGATACTCAGCTGGATAACTGTTCAGAAGATGAGATCTATCCCGGGCGTCTGACTGAACAACAGGAGAGTGAGAACATGATCTTATTTCATCTGTGGTTCTGGTATTCCACATATATTTATGCTGGAAAAATAAAAAGTAAAAAATATCTTGTGTACTATATACGTCTTGTAAACCCATCAGTTTAACTAGCATACCATCGTTATGTAAGTATTAGCCGAGGCCCAGAAACATGCTACCCTGTGCTTAGGTGAAAATAAATGATTTGCCATCACTGCCCCCTGTGGAAGAGGGTGCTGATGTTGATGAGCCATGTCGAAGGTCATTTGTTGGACCACTGCTTTTGGTGGTAGAGATTTGAGGGTAAAGATCAAAGGCCCTGGAGCTCAGAGACCCTGAAGCAGACTGGCCCCTCCTAGTCTTCCTTTCTTCTTATACACAGTTGACACGATGGAGGGTCATGGGCCACCTCCCATTTTGGAGGAGGCTTATTCCTGGTGAAGCCTGGACTTAGAGGATTCCACACATCTGCTGTGACCTTTAGGGAGGAATTCTCTTTCCTCCACTTCCTTAGTTGCGGTGTGTTTTGCTGGCAGGTGGGTAGTAATGGTGGATGTGACTGGGATGCAGGTGTGGGTCCAGGTGAAAGGCAGCAAGCAGGGCACGCACTGGGAGTCCTTTCCTTCCTAGCGGGGTTGCCAGATGTAGCAAAAACCAAACCAAACCAAACAAACAAAAAACCTCAATGACCAGTTAAATTTGAATTTCAGATAAACAGCAAATAATTTTTTAGTATAACTAGGTCCTATGCAATATTTGGAATTGCTATATAAGCATATTGTTTACATTATTTCAATATAAAATTTTTAATATATATAATACTTAGTATATTTTACCATAATTAATATTTTATTATATGTTTATATGTCTTATCTCGCTAGATTGGATTTTTGAGGGGCATGGATTACACTCTACATCCCTAACATGCATTTAGAACTTACTTATACTAAAAGATTATATGTTTATCAAAAGTTTAAATTTAACCAGGTGCCCTATATTTTCTCTGGAAGCCCTAGAAGGTAAACTTCACTAGCTAAGAGACTCCATTCGAATTTGGGATAAAAGCCTTATGAGGAAAAGAAAGATTTGCCTGAATGTTCATCCTCCTTCAGGAACTTGGCCTGGTAACACAGACTGGCTATGAACTGGCGTGTTCAGCGTCCCTGCTCCCCATCCGTCCTGACACTATCTCAATATGACTCGCAAAGAGCAGCTATACCCCAGACCAGCTATCTATTTAAGTCATTTTTTTCTTGAATAATTTCCAAATTTTTCAAAGATGTTAGAGAGGGGTTGGGGGGAGTGCTTGGCTCTTTTGCATGACCCATGGCTAATTTCTTTTGAGAAGTATATTTTTCTGGTTCACTCACTGCAGAAAACACTATCAGGTTTCTTCTGCGTTGAATTTCCCAACAAAAGTAGCAGCAATCCTGATACATGGGTCCATCTCTAGGACTAGTAGGCAAATTCAGCCAAGAGCTCAGAAAAGCAGTTGTAATTTATTCTTGGTTTTCACCTTTCTGCCTCAATGGCAGTTTAGGGGACCAAAAAAAATTCTTTTTTCAGTAAGAGGAAAGGCCATTTTATATAAAAAATAAAAATCAAGTCTGAAGCTCATCAAAGAAGGTTAAAGGAATTTATTTCACGTTCTCCAGCTTGGCCTATTTGTCAGTCTGGGAGCACGTTCTACGCACAGGCTTTGTGTGCTGCTGGTTTTCAGCTGGGGAAGTTGTGTATGAGCTATTGCTCCTCTCCCAGGTGAGAACAGGTGTACACCACTTTAAATTTCCCGTGGATCTGATTGCATCATTTGTTATATTATCCAACATAATGACATGAAATACGTAAATAATAAAATGCCAGTTGCCTGCTGAAAATTTAAAGTGGCAGATCCTCTTTCTCCCGTTGGAGAGGCTGCTATCTGTTGATGGAGCTTTCACCGCTGAAAAATGACGGCCAAGCTGACGGGAGCCACAGGGGAAAACTTATTCCTCTGGCTGATAAAGTGAATACAGAAAAGGAACAGCAGGACATCACCCCGTCTCCACTCTACACAGTTGCCGTATCTTCCTGCAGTTATCACACGCTTGACAAAACAGGTTAACTTTAAAGTATGCATTCAAATCATAAAACTATGAAGGGAGCGTGTGCCAAGGTCAAATGCTCTGCTCTAGAGGATAAAAGGGGTTGCAGGATTTTCCACTTTTTATATATATAAATATATATATATGTATATATATACAGTCACTTCTTCTTGTCCTTTTGTCCACGTATCAACTTGATAGGTAAGTGTTTGTGTTGGGTAGGATCCATAGCACTGGGGAGAGATGCCAAACAGAACAGGTTGATTAAAGGCCTTCCCACGGTAGTGGAAACTCAAGGCAAAACCCTTCCACCCATTCCACAGACAGTTTGTCTTGCTACCTATGTTCTTTAAAATCCAAGGGTTTCCTCCTAAACTTGGGTAACGTTATCAGCAGATTTCCATGTGGAGCATAAGCAAAATGAACCCGAATTTTTTCTTCAGTTGGATTCAAAACAAATGCACTGAGAACCCATTCTGGAAGCTTCGTGTGAGGTGCAAGGAATAAAGACAGTTGCTGCCCCCAAGGGCCTTATGGTCTTCAGATCATTTTAATATGAATTCAGAGTTTCAAATCTATAATGTCACTTGCAATCAAAAGATGAAACATAAAGAAGCCTTCATGAAATTACAATTCTTTACCTCTAAATTCCTTTCTAAAAAGAACAAAGGTGTAATTTTCACCTAAGTGTTCTCTGCACCATTGGTGCCAAAGTGAGGACCAACTCACCAATGTCTGTAGGTGGGAATACGAGGGTGAGAGTTGTAAAGAATAAATAAGCACATGGGATATGAGAAGAAATAGCCCATTAACAAACTAACATTTGTCCTAACCAATATTGTTGGGCTTCTGGTTCTGAACCGACAAAGATGAGATACACAAAATATATTCTGGAGGCCCTACAGGAGACATAAACAGTGTGGTGAGGACTTAAGAGGGGATTTGGCTATGGAGCAGTGGCTGGTGTGCTGGGTAAGGAATGGATGCCAGCACTGTACGCAGCTACGAGACTTGCCAGCTCAAAGTATTATCTGCTTATGAATTAAGAATGCATTTTGATGGAGCTCTACTAATTTGCCTAAAGGAACGAGAGTGAGAGCTATAGGAATAGAAAAATCTCCCAGGCTGGTGAGACACTAATGACCTCAACTTCACGTAAGCTGTAGTTATGTATGTATGTGGGAGGAGGAAACAATATGTATTTATACTATATCGTTGCTGTTTTGGGCAATGTTCTGGATGGTGCACCATCTGAGTGTAACTATTCTGACTTAAAACTTGTCATTTGCAATGAAAGTGAAAATGAGTTTTTGAGATATTATTCAGAACTATCATGGTGTCTTATGTCTGTTTTTTCTTCAGATACTTTAGCATCCCTTCTATGCTTCGTCTGTACCCTTCCCTTCCCTCCACTTTCAACTTGCTTCGTCTTAGGCATGAGAGTGGAAATGTATTGCAAACTGGTGATAGCTTAAAAGTGTGAATCTGAATTAATGAAATGTAAATGGTATTTCCCCTAAAATTGAATAGTTACATAAAGGTCTATTATTAGTTACACGTGTACGTGTCTTAGCTCACTTATGTATGTTTCTGAGGGCATGGGTTTTATCTTATACGTCTACGAACCTTGAACACAATGGATGCTCCCTAAGCATTAATTGGATAAATGAAGAAATGAATAATTCCAGAAAAATGGGAGAGAATTATTCACAGACGTGTTGCAAAATGATGCATAAAACCATGTGTCTTCTATGAATTGGAGATAGAAAAGCTGCAGAACAGAAGTATCAAAATTTGTGTGCCCATGACAAATAGTGTTTTCTAATTCCAAACCTGCCCAATTAATCACTGTTTTATTGTAATAGATCTCAATCTTGCCACCAACATGGTACGACATCAACTCAAGTTTGTAGAATGAGCAGATCTTTTTCCTAAAGTCCTAGCTTCCCTTGATCTTTGTCTTTCCATTCAAAGAGTTCATATTCCACAGTCTAAGTAAAGATCTATAAAACTAGTTCTGATATGCTTGACTGGCAGAGGTCAGATAGCTAGGCCATGGTGTCCGCGATCAAGTGTTCCTAGGTTTGAATCTCAGCTCTACTATTGCTGGAAACTTGAGCTTGGTTCTCATTTCCCTTCTTAACAAATGAGGGAAAATAGTTGTGAGAATTAAGTCAGATCAATTCATATAAAGTGTATGGCACATAGTGAGACCTTGCGTATGATAAAGTCATAGAATGTGGGGAAGATGAGATCGCTTTTCCTGATTAAAGTTGGAAGTAAATTTTGAGTTAGGCCTTAAAAGATGAACAGAGGTTTGTTTTATTTTGTTTTGCTTTAGGCACAGAAAGAAGGCAATGAGACTCCAGGCAGAGGAAACACACAAAGGCACTGGCGTATGAAAATACGTGATATGTTCGGGGACCAGAAGACCATCCATCTACAGTCCATTGGGGGCCCCTAGAGCACAGTAAACAGTCCATGGGGGATGGACAGGAGGACATTCACAGCTACCAACTTGTTCATCACACAGGTGATGTTAGAACCTGTCTCTTGTCTCCCAGTGAATAAATTCTTTAATAAATACCAATCTTCATGAAATGAGAATTTAAATTTCTAGCAGTTTTCAGTATTTCCAAGGAAGTTTAAATGCAGTCTACGCAGATTGCTGGGTAGAGGATCTTTAT